AAGAGCAACAGCAAGGGTGGTTCTTGCTGTATCTTGATCACTTTGTTGGCAGTATTACGATGCTGTATGTTAGGTGGAGGAATGTTGAGTAGGACGGTAACCATACCAGTTCTGTTGGCTTCATTGGGCCAATGATAATTTTTATGTTATGATTAAGATGTGTATCCAATAATCTAGTGTGGGCAAAATTGGGGCACAGTATTTGCCAACTTTATAACAGAGAGTGAGTCCCAAATTACATAATGTTTGCACACACTGGCTCCTTAGGTGGACCCTACCAGCCCAAAGGAATTATGCAAGTATACATTATACAAGATCATAGTAAACGTTAAGGGCTAACAGTCCAAAGCTTGGCACCTAAGTGCTGTGAAACATTCAGTTTTACCCTCAGACTTGCCCATCCCTGCAGTTACCTGGCCTATGGCCATACCGGACCGAACACCCCCAATCTTGTCTGATCTCAAAAGGTAAACCGTCCCAGGCCTGGCTAGTACTTGGATGGGTGACCCCCTGGGAAACCCAGGTGCCGTAAAAAAAAGTGCTTGCTTTGGCAGCACGTATACTAAACTTGGAACGATACAGAGAAGATTAGCACGGCCCCTGCGCAAGGATGACACGCACATTCGTGAAGCGTTCCATCTTTACAGCAACCTGTCAGCCCATCAAACTGGGGTGGCCACCCTGTTCTCCCCAAACCTGCAGCCCGACATGCTGGGGATTGCCAAGGTTGTGCAGGGCCGCCTGCTGCATCTCCAGGTTCAGATGGAGGGGCTGACATTAAATCTCATTAACATCTATACCCCGACGTCCGGCCTGGAGAGGCTCCATTACTAACAGTGGGCGTCTACCTTCCTTGGCTCTCTGAGGGTACGTCTACACTACAGCGCTAATTCGAACTAACTTAGTTCGAATTAGTTAATTCGAACTAAGCTAATTCGAACTAACGTGTCTAGAACTAAAAACTAGTTCGAATTAGCATTTTGCTAATTCGAACTAGCATGTCCACATTAAGTGGACCCTGAACCGTGCTTAAGGATGGCCAGAAGCAGTGCCAGCAGGGCATCAGAGGAGGACTTAGAGCGTGGAGCTGCTGTCTCAGGCTAGCCGAGGGCTGCGCTTAAAGGGTCCCGACCCCCACCCCAGACACACAGTTCTAAGGGGTGCCCCGCTTGCAAAGAAGTTCTGGCTTGGAGTGCCCGGAGTACCCACACTGGGCACATCACACCACTCGGCCATCAGCCCGGCTGCACTTGCCGCAGGCTGCCATCTGGGAGAGAGGGCAATTGGGGGGCTGCAGGAGAGCTTCCACCCCCAGAAGCCCGCAGAG